GTCGGCAGCAAGAGTGTAAAATCCCTGCAATGAAGCTGAGGCAGCTCCCCCCAACCTGGGCCGGGCTCTGCAACCTCCCTGCTAAGAAAGAGGAGAGGAAAAGCAGTTACCGCCTCGGGGAGCGCAGGGGATGGCTTCAGAAGAAGAGGATGGAAACCACGACAGCAGGTTTTACAGAGTGTTTATTTTTCCAATACCACAAGGGACATACATGAGCAGACCCCCCAGGGCTCTGCAAACCAGACCACTGCCACCGGGACATGGCCAAGCCCTAGGCTGAGCCAGCCCCGGCTCCGCTCCCGTCTTTGGTAAGCCCTCAGCACCTCCACGCTCCCGGCCATGGTCTCTCCCCATCCCACAACATGAGGCTGATAAAACCATTTTGGAGACTAAACTTGTTGCATCCCTCCGGCTCGCATCTCAAACAGGGACTTGCACTGTTAAAACCCAAGTGCATGGTCAAGGGAGGTAGGACAGAGCTAGAAAAGGGACCAGAAGGAAAAACAAAAAGAAACCCCCTACAATTCTTCTACAACACTGCTTGAATCAAACAAGAGACTCCTCCCTGCACTGAGGCAATTCTCTCTTAACAGGTAAGTGCTCCAAAGAGGAAGAGTCCTGGGTTTGCTCTCAGTGGGTGCACGAGGTGTTCCCCTTCGTGCAGCTATAGCCAAGCTCCAGGAGATCAGTCACAGCAACAACCAGCACCAGGCTGGAGGAGGCACCGGGCACGTCTGCCCTCATGGCACAGCCTGGACACCCGGCACAGGGAGAGCCTGCCGAGCCACCTTCCTGTGTTGAGGGGGGACAGAACACAGCGGCTCCGACTCCAGAGGCAGGTTAATAACTAACACCACTTTAATGCAATACTGCCGCGAGCCTGGCAATCCAAGGGGAAAAAAAAAGAACCCTTTATGTTCTATGTACATTACATCCATTTACAGAGTTGGCCAGTACTGTGTACAACATATAAATACATGATCAAACAGATGCATAGAGGGTACTTACAGGAGCCAAATAATTCACTTTATACATCCAAGAATGAAAATATAAAAAAAGGAAAACGAAACGAAACGAGCCCCACTGCTTTCCAGATCCCACGGATCAGGGGGGCGCCTGCCAGGGCTCACTTGCTGCAGGGCTGCAACACAGAGACCACGGGAACCTCCACAGCTACACCCCAGTTCAGGGCAGACACAGCACCAGGACGCGAGCTCAGCCCCGCAGACCAGAGGCGTTCAGTTGCCACCTGATGCTTTTACTTCTGTTTCCCCTCTTGTTGCATCCATGGGCTCCGTGCAGCGCTCGGTTACTGCGCCGCCGCCTGCAGCATCCTTTACTGGGCACCATGTTCTGCTGTAGCATCCAAAGACCGCTGAGGACCGTCCCTGCAGAGCAGCTCCGCTTGCACCAAGGGCCCAGCGGCGCTTCCCAGCACACCGAGAATGGAGACGGCAGAAGGGGACAGCGGGAAGCTGCAGGGCCTCACCTAGCACAGCCCCAGAGCAGCCTGTTCCAGTTCCTTTGGGTGCGACGAGTTCCTCAACGCAGGGTCCACAGGTTGCCACAAACTGCCTCTCGGTCGGGTGTTCGCCTCAGCACAGGCACCAGGGCACAGTCGGTATCTCCATACAGCAGGAAGCAGGAGGATGGATCCAATGGGACGCAGCCCGAGACCGGAGTGTAACCGTGAGCCAAAGGGTTTTGCACTGGAGATCTTCGTGGGAAGGCAAGTCAACGTTCCTCACCGCAACAAAGTGTAGTAGCATTTCTACTATAAACAGAATAGTACTTTGTGTACAGGCTTTAGCATCAGTCGTTATCAAAATACACACACTGAATATACGCTCTGTCCCATGGCCATAATTTATTATCTCACCACAAGGCACAATACACACAGCTTAGAGGGTCCTATACAGTCGTCGTGACAGAAGGCCCCGCAGCCCTTGCACATGATCATGGCTTTAAGGCTGCAGGAGCACTTGAAGGAGATCTCGTCAACGCTGCTGCTGTCAGCAAACATCTGCACGGAAAGGGCCGAGCTGCGGCCCGCAGCAAAGTTCGCTCTGTGGCTCAGCTGCACCACGCTGCCAGCGAGGCTCCGCGGGAAAGCGGGAGCGCCGGATGAGTAATTAAAGCTGGTGGAATTAAGCTGCAGCTTAGAAAGCTTCCCATAAAATGCTTGTTTGATATTGAGCTGTGAGGGGATGGAAGAAGGCTCCAAAGGGTGACTGTGGCCTTTTCCTGCTTCCCTTGAAAACTTAAAGAACGGCAAGTCCATTCCCAGCGGGACCCTCTGCAAGTGCTCAGTCAGCTCCCTCTGGTTCTCCGCGTTCCCCTTGCCCGGGCTGCCGCTCACCACGTTCTCATTTCTCCTTCCTCCCAGGGTGCTGGGGTGCTGCTTTGAGGCCCACTCCTCCCTCGCAGCCGGCACTCCCTCTCCTGGGGCACAGCTCTTGTCCAGAGGAGTCTGTTTGCTGGGGGACAAGGTTCCTATGGCCAAAGCTTGATCCAAAGCCCTGGGGTGGTGCAGTCTAACGCTGGTGTTGCAGGGGAAACCAGAACCAAAGAGTTTCTTGCCTTGAACTCCAGGATAGTTTTTGTTGACCGAGGCACCTCCTGTCTGATTTGGACCAAGAGAAGTTACAGTTGGAGACAAAAACCGAGGCTCATTGGAGGTGTTCAACTCCTCTGGACGTGTATTTGTGGTGACACTTGCTAATGGGTTGTGCTGTGGCACCCGATGGACCTTGGGCAACTCCTTTTGCTCCTCAAAGCTACAGGAAGAAAAGGTTCTTTCCTGAGGGCCCAGATCTTCAGGCTTCTGAGAGGCACTTCCCACAGTTGCCAGCTGGTCTTGGCCCCGTAGAGTCGAGGCAACTTTGGAATGTTTCTCCGGAATAGAGTGGTCCTCCACATCCTCTGCTCCAGGCAAGGCTGCCCCTGATCCACACTTGTTCTCCTGGGGATCTGTGGAAGATCTCATTGACTGGAAGTCATCGCTCCTGCTCAGGGCACTCGTCTTTGTTCCTACATCTGGAGAAGATTCTGTTCCAAAATAGCAACTGCCACCTGTCTCCACCTGCAGGGAGAGGCTTTCCGAGGGCTTGTCCAGCGGTGGCTGCGCAGCTTCCAGCTTCATGTTGGCATGAGATGCCGGGAGAACATCCTCCAAAGGAAGGTTCCCCTTAAGCAACTGCATCACCAAAGGGTTGTTGGTTTCAACAGAGGACACGGGCCGAGCAGAACCTGCTTTCTGGGGCAGTGGTGCGTGTGGTCCCTGGCTCTGGGATGGAGGTGCAGTGCCCATCACTGTGACTGCAGGGAGGCCCACAACACAGGCCAAGTTGTCCGCCTCCGATTCTGATCTAACCCCACCACACATCTCGGTGCTGCTGGGGCAGGAGGAGTCTTTCCCAGCCACCTCCCTACAGCGGGCACCTCTGAAACACCCATCCATCTCCACGCTCTCATCAGCTACGTCACCTTCAAAATCTGAAGCAGTGTCCGTCGTCTCACTGTGTGTACTCTGCACATCCTCATCTCCACGTGTCTTGAACTCTTGGGTCTCCCTCAGTGGCTGATGTGTGTTTCCTGGTTCTGTTGAGGGGCTCCTCTCCCTCGGCTGCTCAGGTTTTTCAGAGGTGTCTATCCTGTTCTGAGAAACAAAGTCACCGTGTAAAGAGGGTCTCACCACAGGCTCTGTATTTTGCTCTCCATTACTCAGGTTGCCATCACTGCCTTCCTCTGCCTGCAGATGTGCCAAGTCCCCCAGCGCAGGGCTGGCTTCCTGCGCTCCAGCAGTCCCTGCTTTGGAGCTATCTCTACCAGTCACACATTTTTGCACAAACGTTTCAGAGCCATTAAATCTAAATCTAGAGACCAGTCCTGGCTCGTGGCGTTCGCTGCCGCCCGAGGACGATGCTGGCAGATGAGCAGGACAACTGGAGGAATTTTCCTTTACGTCAGAACGATAACCCAGCTGCAAGGCAGGGGCAGCAGCACCTCCGAGTCCTGGCACAGCCCCGTCTCCTGTAGGGCTGATCACAGCTCCCTGCACCCGAGAACACGACAGACCGTTCACTGGAGGAGCCACGCTCTTCAGCTTTGCGCTCTGCCGCTCCCGTGCCGCAGCACAAGACGGGGTTTCGGTCCGTGGCGCACAGAGGAGCTGCTCAGGGCTCTCCTCCT